GGCGAGGAGGTCCAGAGAGGCGCGGAGGAGCTGGCCTGGGAGCTCGCGCTGGAGCTGGAGGTGGCGGAGGCGCTGTCCGAGACGATCGCCGGAGCGGCGCTCGATTGGCGGAAGGCGTACGACCACATCGACCTGGCCTCCCTGCCGGGCATCCTGGCGCGCACTGGCGTCCCTCAATGGGTGTCGGCCCCTGCTCTGGGTGCCTACGCGGCCTCGCGCCGGATCCGGGTCGGGCGCGCCATCGGCGAGGCATGCCAGCCCGCGTGCGGGATGCTGCCTGGCTGCGCACTGGCCGCGTTCTTACTGGGCGTCCTTACGGAGCCGTGGCAACGGCGCACGGGGGAGTTGGACGACCAGCTCCGGCGGCGCATCCGCGTCGACAACTTCACGCTGTGGGCGCGGGGCGGCCAGGGCGAGGCCGGCGAGGTGGCGGAGTCGGTCGCTGGCGCACTGGCCATCACTGTCGGGTTCGAGCTCGCCATGGACTGGCGGCTCAATTGCGACAAGAGCCGGCAATTCGCGAACACCGCGGCGCTTCGCCGTTGGTTGGCGGCCCAGACCCCTCTGATTCCTGGTGGGCGCCAGTTCCGCGACCTCGGGGTGGTCGCCGCCGCGGGTCGAGTGCCTCGCTGCGCCGTTGACGGCTCCAGGGCGCGCGCCGCTGGGGTACGGTTCGCGCGGATCGGGCGGCTCCCCTTGGAGTTCCGACGCCGATGCATGCTGGGCGCCACCGCCGGCACCGCGGCAGGACTGCACGGCGCCTCGTGCGGCCGCCCACCGGCGAAGGAGCTGGCCGGACTGCGGGCGGCGGCGCGGCGGGCCGTTTGCCGAGGCGGATTCCGCGCTGCCGCAGCAGTGGTGTTCGGGGTCCCGAGCCCGACGTGGCGGCTGGACCCAGCGGCGGTCGTCGCCCTCGCGCCGTTGTGGCAGGCATCGAAGGCGCTCCGCAGAGGACGCCTTCCCTCGGCGCTCTGGTGGGCCACGGACGGAGCCCGAGCGGCCGGGCACGGCCTCGGCGCCGGCCCTGTCGCCGCGGCCGCTTGGAGTCTGGCGCAGCCCCGCCTCGTCGAACGCTGGGCTGGCGTCCCTGCTTGCCCGGGCGGGTGGCGCCCCGCCGACCAGCCACTCCAGGCCACGCGCGCCGTGCTCCTCGAGGCATGGGCGCGCCGAGAGGCGGCTGCCGTGGTAGGCAGAAGGGCTGACTTCGCGCACGTCGCGCGCGGGGTGGACCGCTGGGCAACCAGGCGGCTGCTGGAGTCGGGGGCCCTTGCGCCAGACGCGGCCGGGGCCTTGCGCGCAATGTTGCCTGGGAACGTCGTCACGAAATCGGTGGCGGCGGTGTGGGGCAAGCCGGCCCGATGCACCCATTGTGGCGCCGCCTGCGAGGACCGCGAGCGCCGCTTCTGGGTCTGCCCAACTTGGGGCGCCGACAGGGCGGCCGCCCTGGCGACGGCAGGGATCTCGCAGGACGCATTGCGCGCGCGGCTGCCGCCAGACATGGCGAATACGGGCGTGCTGGCGACGGACGTCCGGCTCGCCGCCCTCGCCGAGGAGGCCACTCGGGCCTTGCCGCCAGCCCCGCTCCCAGCAGCCCTGATGACCATCCCGCCCCAGCCGCGCAGGAGGGCTTGCACCGACGGGGCGTGCGAGCGGCCGCGGGACCCGCTGATGGCCCGGGCGGCCTGGGGCTTGCGCCTGGAAGGGCCCCGCGGCACGAGCGACCACAGCGGGCCAGTGGACGCGGCGAGACCGCGCAGCGGGCTGAGCTGACCGCCGCGGCCCACGCAGTCAGCATTGCGGGGACCCCCGTAGAGGTTATCACAGACTCCCGCTTCGTCCGCAATGACGTAGCCGCCCTGCGCGCCGGCGCGTGCTACCTCGACTGGGCGCATTCCGACATTTGGGAGCGCGTCGCGGAGCACAGCCAGAGCGGGTTCTCGGCGCAGCGCGTGCTCGCTGCGGTCGAGCTTTCGCGGCCTTGCGGGCCAACCACGAGAGCTGCGGGCCCGAGGGCCCGCGCGTGCGCCGCCGCTGGACGGCCGCGCGGGGGCCCCGCGCCGCCAGGTGTGCTCGGCCCCTGCCCGCAGCTCCGGCGGCTCCAGCCCCCCGTCCGCCACCGCGGCGGCGCACCCAGGCAGCGATTGTTGAGGCAGGCGGGGCCGTCGCGCCTTCTGCGCCAGCCGAAACAGCGCGCGCCCTTGTCGCAGGCGCCGCGTGGAGGGCACACGCTGCGGCGCAGGGCCCGGACTGGGTGCCGTGCCTGCGCTGCGGCGCCTCGGCGGCGCGGTGGGCGCAGCTGTCGGCGAGGCCTTGCCCAGGGTGGGCGCCGGCGCTGCCCCCGCGGCGGCGATGCTGCTGCTCACGCCAGCGGTGCGCGCCAGCGGTGGCACAGAGGCCTGGCGCGCCGCTCTGAAGGCGCGGCTGCGGGCCCGGCCGGGGCCGCCGGACTAGATAATTCGGTGCATCTCCTCCTCCTCCTCCTCCTCCTCCTCCTCCTCCTCCTCCTCCTCCTCCTCCTCCTCCTCCTCCTCCCCCTCCTCCCCTTCAGCCGCGGGGCGCCTTGTTCGCATGGTAAAAAAAGTGTGCCGGCCGCGGAACAGCTGACGAAAGAGCAACACACACACTCACACACACACACACTCAAACCCACAGGGAGGCTCCTCCTCCTCCTCCTCCTCCTCCTCCTCCTCCTCCTCCTCGGGTCGCCTACGGCCCCGGGGGAAACCATGCAGAATGACCCCTAGATGATGAAGGCGTGAGAAATATGAGTGCGAGTTGTCGGCTCCCGATGGGGGCTCCGGTTCCAGCGGGGCCCCCATCCGACAACATACACCCATAGCCCCCCCAGAGTTCAACCCCGAGGGATCGGGGCGTCGCATAGGCATAAGTGCTGGTTGCAAGCTCACGAGCAGCGTCCCTGCATGCAACATGAACCCAATGAGCAATCGCTCCTAACAGCCTGACACAGCCGTGTGGCTAGGAGTGCTCCCTCACCGACCTTGCAGACGTGCTGCAGCGGATTGTTGCATAGATTTCTGTCAATACCAAACCCAGAAACGGCGAGCGAACAACGAAGTCAATTTCACGTGGATGTTTTGTAGTCTTCATTCCTGGCCATAACTATCCTGGCGAAGGACCCAACCATACGCAAGTGTGAGAACCGCAAAGCAAGTTTGACGCAGCAAGGGGAATTCCCAATGGGGCCACGAGACGTGTGAGGGGTGCGCCGCAAAGGCGCGGGGCCGCCATGCGAACCCTGCCACTGGGGCCTTCGGGTTGGGGCCACGAACCGTATGCGGGGTGTGCCGAAATGGGGCGGGGCCGCCATGCGAACCCTGCCACTGGTGCCCTCGGCGGAGCTTCCTATGGTGCCACGATCCTCGTGAGGGGTGCGCCGAAATGGGGCGGAAGCGCCATGCGAACCCTGCCACTGGCGCCCTCGGTGAAGCTCCCAACGGGGCCACGATCCTCGTGAGGGGTGTGCCGAAATGGGGCGGGGCCGCCATGCGAACCCTGCCACTGGCGCCTTCGGTGGAGCTCCCTATGGGGCCACGATCTTCGTGAGGGGTGCACCGAAATGGGGCGGGGCCGCCATGCGAACCCTGCCACTGGGGCCCTCGGTGGAGCTCCCTATGGGGCCACGATCCTCGTGAGGGGTGTGCCGAAATGTTGCGGGGCCGCTATGCGAACCCTGCCACTGGCGCCCTCGGTAAAGCTCCCCACAGGGCCTCGATCCTCGTGAGGGGTGTGCCGAAATGGGACGGGGCCGCCATGCGAACCCTGCCACTGTGGCCTTCGGTGGAGCCCCCTATGGGGCCACGATTCTCGTGAGGGGTGCGCCAAAATGGGGCGGGGCCGCCATGCGAACCCTGCCACTGGCACCTGCGGTGGAGCTCCCTATGGGGCCTCGATCCTCGTGAGGGGTGTGCCGAAATGGGGCGGGGCCGCCATGCGAACCCTGCCACTGGGGCCTTCGGTGGAGCTCCCTATGGGGTCACGATCCTCGTGAGGGGTGTGCCGAAATGGGGCGGGGCCGCCATGCGAACCCTGCCACTGTCGCCCTCGGTGGAACTCCCTATGGTGCCACTATCCTCCTGAGGGGTGCGCCGAAATGAGGCGGGGCCGCCATGCGAACCCTGCCACTGTGGCCTTCGGTGGAGCTCCCTATGGGGCCACGATCCTCGTGAGGGGTGCGCCGAAAATGGGCGGGGCCGCCATGCGAACCCTGCCACTGTGGCCTTCGGTGGAGCTCCCCATGGGGCCTCGATCCTCGTGAGGGGTGTGCCAAAATGTGGCGGGCCGCCTTGCGAACCCTGCCACTGTGGCCTTCGGTGGAGCTCCCTATGGGTCCACGAAGCGTGTGAAGGGTGTGCCGAAACCGGTGATGATGATCACGATGATGATGATGGTGGTGATGATGACGTCGATGATGTCGATGATGCCGATGATGATGATGATGATGATGATGATGATGCTGCTGATGATGATGATGACGGTGGTGATGGTGATGGTGATAGGGATGGTGATGATGATGATGATGATGATGATGATGATGATGATGGTGATGATGAAGATGATGATGATGATGATGATGATAATGATGATGATGATGATGATGCTGATGGTGATGATGATGATGATGTTGACAACGACGACGACGACGACGAGGAGGAGGATGCTGCTGCTGCTGATGGTGATGATGATGATGATGATGATGATGATGACGATGATGCTGGTGAGAGGCGGGAGGAGGGGAGGCAGCGGGAGGAGAAGGAAGAAAGGAAGGAGGACGCGGGCGTTGTCTCTTCAAAACGAGGACCCAACACCACAGGATGGTTGGGAAACATCTGCGCGAAATTCACTTCGAAATCTGTAACGACGTTCCCCAGAACAGTCTGGGCCCATCCCATTGTTTCCCGAGCGAGGTCCGCTCTGCGATGTTGGCGCCATGCCCTCGAGGGAGACCGACCCCGCTTCTCACAATTCCCCTCTCGGAGTGCCTCGCCCATCAGCGACCCAGGCTCGCAGGTGAACTTGCCGCGGAACCTTGGACGGAAGACGACGGCAAGGAGTTGGAGGCTGGGGGGAAGCTCGCTGATGTCTAAGGTCTAAGACTGCCAATGCACGAGAACCTCTGTGTTTGAGATTCCTGCTGCAGCTCTGGGCAGCCCCATCAGTATTGGGCGCTCAGGATGTGCGAGCAACTGTGATGCTGACATCCCTGGGAAACCAAAGCTCAAAATTCTAGAGGAACAAAAAAATTAGCATTGACTTTTGACGATCCGCGAAGATTTCATGGGGCTGCGCTGAAACCCGCTCCCTGGCGCGCGGAGCGCGCCAGGGGCGGCGCCCGAGGCGCCGCCAGTGGGGCCCATCGCCAATTCAAGAAATCCGCGAGGACCGTCGACAACTTATATTTATGACGTTTTCCGTTCTTCGAAATTCGTGGCCGATGCGCGAGCGCGAAGCCGGCCGTCAACTGCAGAGGATCGGATCACCATCTCAAGGCGTTGCAATCCCTGCTTCTTACCCGTGCAGGCGGGTCGGCGACGGGGAGCTGCACATGCACGGCTGTAAGCGCACGGCGGTCTTAGCCCAGGTGCCTACACGAGTTGAGGGCGGCCCGCATAGGAAGGACGGGCGACCTTCCCGAGCGTACCCTTGCAGCCTTGTCCCTGCGGCCGATCATCGGCGGCTTTCGCCGGCCTTCCTCGCTCGAGAGAGACGTCAACATGGCCCTCCAGGGCCCTTGCATCCTTACTAGAAGGCAGAACATCCACCCTCACAATAATCACCCCGACAAGCGAAGCCGTGTAGTAACCGCACCGACAAAAGGAATCGAACAGGGCAGGGCTGCTTAGTAAACGCCCAAAGCCGTTTATAGAAAAGGCAAAAACAACATAAACATTAACTTTTGGCGCTCCGAGCGGATATCTTGGATTCGCGCTGGACCGCCTTCCCTGGCGCGCGGAGCGCGCCAGGGGCGGCGCTGGAGGCGCCGCCGGGGGTCCAGGCGCGAATCCAAGAAATCCGATCGGAGCGCCAAAAGTTTAAGTTTATGTTTATGTAGTGTTTTCCTTCTTCGAGTTTAGCAAACGCAAATTATCGGGTCCGGATGGTTGGCCTCCCTTGACTTGCCGCGCATCCTGATCAGACGGGTTGACTGTAATGGCGGTCCGAGGAGTGAGCGATGGCAAACGATCGCCCTCGCCTCGCCCCTATACGCGTCGGTCGGAAGAAGTGGGTCAAACCAGGAAGCAGGAAGGGCGGAGGAAGCAGATGGGGTTCGGGCCCTCCAAAAGAAGAGCCAAACACAGCAGGAGCGATTATTGTGGTATGAAGGCGCTTGAAGCAGACTGGGACCTGGGACTCCGATAATACATGATGTCAACGACTAGCGTGTCCTTGCACTGGCCTTGCAGACGTGCTGAAGCGGATTTCTGCGTGGATTTCTGCGTGGATGTTTGCCCGAATCGACGAGCGAAAAACGAAGTGAATCTCGCGTGGATGTTTTTGGGTCTTCATTCCTGGCCGAACAAATCCGCACGAGATTCACCTCGAAATCCGGAGCGAAATTCTCCAGTATACCCCGGGCCCACCCTAACGTTTTCCGAACGGAATCCGCTGTGCAATGCTGGCGCCATGAAGCGTGTACTCTTCACCCCAGTCCTCCAGTCGGACGGCCGAGCGCCGTGCAGTCGAAGAGAGAGAACGGATGGGCGACCGGAAGAGGACAGAACAAGCCGCGCCCCGAGAGGGGACGCGGAGAGGAAGATGGACGGATGGGACGAACGAACAAAACACGGGACCCAGAAGGACATCACCAGTACCACGTGTCCTCCTCGGAGGCGTGCGTCCGACCCGAACATCTAGTACACAAATCTTCTGGTGGATCGTTTCCCGCGCGGTACGGTCAGAAGGCGCCCGCCACGACGAATATACTATAAGATGTCTCGGTGCGCGCGTCGCCCCTGGGGGGCCGACGGGTGACGCCGAACACGCACTCATACCCATAGGGGGGACGGAGGGGGCCATGAGTCCCCCGCTCGAACGGGAGCCGCTCGAACGGGAGTCTCCCCCGGGGTCTGACAACCCGCGCCCATATCCGCAGCCAGTCCTCCTCCATCCAACCCCCGTATGGGTGTACCTTGTTCATTCGTCAGGAGAGGGAGGAGCAGGAAGTCGCGAGGGGGCAGGCAGCTGGAAATCCCACCGACTTCCTGGGCGTCTGGGATTTTAGGCAGCAGATCTTCCAACACAACCGGGCCCCCCCATACCCCGACGTTGTCACGCGTCATCCCTTCTTGAGGCAAGCTGCTGAAATGGCCACCCTGGGCCAACCGCGGAGAGGGCGACGGGACACTGATCAGAAACCTTGCCGGGCCCAGGGTGAGGGTCTACGGCTTCAGGAGGTCTCTCCTATTGAGGCCATTTTGCGAAGCTATCTCGTGGTACTCCTGGGGCCCGTTGGGGCTCTGTTTGGGCCTTCTTCGGGCCACGAAAGCTCCTAGGGACAGCACAGAGCCGCTGTGGGGCATTAAATCCATGCCAGATTGGGCCTCGTACTCGAGAGCTTTGGGGGGCCATCGTGGCAGCGTCGTCTGTCCTTTTGGGGCCTCTTCGGGCATTTCGGCGGACTGCCTAAGCAGCTCAGTGGTGGGCTGGGCCTTGGATTTGAGAGCTTGGGAGGGGTTCTCTTGGGACCCTCTTAAACATATGACCATTCGAACGTGATTGTCTTCTGCCCTGTTCGGCTTCCGATGGCCGCTGAGGCCTCAAGATGACTCAACACGGACCAAGCGGACCCTACGGGGAGCCCAGCGTGGCACCGCGAGGGATCCGAAGACCGCCAAGAGCATCCCAAGAAATCCTTGAGAGGGCCCCAGGAGGCAATGTCTGGCACAAGACGCGGGGAGAATAATTAATGGTGAGAAGAATCCGAAGCGCCACGAGTTTGGAGGGCGGATGCGAGGAACAAGATGCGATGAGGACGCAGACGAAGACCAGCATGGCGCGGACCAGAGGATGAGCGAGGGCCGAAGCTGCATTGAGGCTCACTGGCTTACCCCGGGCGCAGGCACGCCAGCGAACACGCCGCTCAGAGGCTGGAGTGCAGGTCAGGCCCCCCCTCCGATCTGGAGGCGGCGCTTGGCCATCTGCTTCTTCGTGAACTTCTTGGGCTTAACCTCCTCGGTGGGGGCCTCCACCGACTCGTCCTTCTCCTCCAAAATCATTTCGATGTGGCATGGGTTTGACATGTACGGCCCGATGCGCCCGTGGGCCCGGTATGTCCGGCGCCGGCCCTGCTGCGCGGGGTTCACCTGGATGTGCTTGACGAACAGATTGTCCGTGTCGAGATTCTTGAAATCGGCGTTGCTCTCCGCGTTCTGGAGCAGGCCCAGCAGGATCTTGGCGGACTTCACTGGCCACCGGCCCTGCGACATCTTGAACGCCTTTGCCTGGGGTGTGCGCCCGATGCAGCCAGTGTACTTCCTGAAGGGGACGCACTGCTTCTTCTCGCACACGTCCTGCAAATACGACTGCGCGGCCTTGAGGTTCATGCCCTTAATCGCTTGGGCGGCCTCGTACGTGTTCTTGTAGTGGACACGCAGGTCCACGCCCTTGGCCTTGCAGGCCTTGCTTGGGTTGGCCGCCTCCCTCGAATACTTTCCCATCGCTCCCTGACCCGTCTGGGCGTTCCGACCGTGCCCTCGAGCTTGGGCCCCGAGATGGCTTGAGCCGAGACAAATGCGGTGGACAAGAAAGAAAGCACCTTGAGGCGCCGGAAGCGACCATGCTTCGAGAAAACTGGCGGGCAATGCCGAGAATGATGAGGGGATGAATATCAGGAGGGACATATTCAAAGTCGACGGGAAAGGCGAGCAGGATGAACCCGGTGAGCGGCAGATGGACTCGCCGCTGCCACCCCACTCTTGACTACGGTCTAACTTCAATTTACGGCCTACGAGCGCCGAGGATCTTCAAGCTGGATGCAAGCTCGAAGCTTGAGCTGATAGAGGTCAACGCAAAGCTGATGAAGTGAGAATTGCAAAAACACGAAATCATGGAACTGCTTGTTCAGCGGTGCGCAATCAAATGATGCTCACACAAATTCGACACTCCATGGGTGCCGGAAATGGCGAATTCCGCTGTTACGAAAGCTCTGCGTGGTTTTCGGAATTGCTCGGTTACTGAACGCTAGTGGTTCCCATTCAAAAGCTCATATCCTGTAACTTCGCTCACGGGAGTAGAACTCAATTTGAACAAACTTGAAAACTCTTGCCTATCCCATTGTCCCCTCGAGTACCATCATGTATGCTTGTGTTGCCCGCGTGTTTCCTCAACTTGCTATGTCATGTATAATTGCGGGTCCTTCGTCCTCATCCTCCTCGTCCTGGCTTTCTCAACCATCCTGTGGTGTTAGGTCCCCATTTTGGAGACATCGCCCAGCGCCCACACCTCATCATCGTCCTCCCCCTCCTCCTCCTCCCTCCTCCTCCCTCCTCGCACCCCACATCCTCATAGCGGCGCCGCGCCCATCTCGGCACAATATTCACACGTTTAGTGGCCCCATGGGGAGCTCCACCTAAGGCCCTGAGTGGCAGGGTTCGCATGGCGTGCCCGCCCTTGATCTGACGCAGCCCTCACAGTTTTTGTTACCCCCTGGGGAGCTGAACCGAATTGCCCAGTGGACTGGCCCCCGACTATGCATACCCCCCCCCCTCATACAGTAGGAGCTCGACCACTAGATTTCATCCACAAGAAACCCAACCCTGAGATCCAGGACGTCCACTGATTTTGGTGTGGGAACGTCCCTCCAAGAAACCCACGGCGCCCTGGAGGCAAGCAAGGTGTTTCTTGGCATGGGTTTCCTCGTGGCCCCATGCGGAGCCCCATCGAAGGCCCCAATGGCTGCGCTCGCATGGTGTGCCCAGTCGATCCGACCCCTCACGCGATTCGTGGCACCTCCGTCTCACCCGCGTCGTGATACTCGCAGGTGCACATGGTTGGGCCCTTCGCTGGCGAAATTCCCCCCCCCGTTCCTG